CCCCCCTCCCAATATTTTGTATGTACATTTTGATCGATGCATCTCGAGTAAACTAAACACAAATAACAAACCTTGATGACTCAAACAACAGGTTTTCGTTGGTCGAGTAAACAGAGTGGTAATGGTAATACTGGGGTCGAATCCCCTTCGTACATACACATGCGCCTCGTGGTTTTGTTCTCAGAAGTCCACAGCATTCGGGGCGTCAACTCGTCCCAGACAAAAACACTAAAACAGTCTGCGGAATTCCGATCCATTCTTCAACCTCGACTTTGTGAAGCGCTGAGTCAACGGATACAGTCGGAACATTTACACCGTGAGTCAATCATGTTTTGAGTCAGCACGAAGCAGACTGCGTTTCTACGTGCACGTTGTCTGGTTTAGCAGCTCCATAGCCAAATTTCATTATCAGACAAGGACGTGGAACATTGGGCTACAATACAGATGCCCAACAACCGTTCTTTTAAGAAAGAACTACGTCGCGCTCTGAAGTTGATGAAATTTTATTTCAAAGTCTCGATCTCCTTTCGCTCCGACTGTCGTGGCGTGCGAAATGGCCCAAGCGAGTCGCTCGATCACCAGCGTATTCGTCCGATTTACCGCACGAATTCATCCGACGACATCATCAAACGCCGGAAACTCACTTTTCAACTCGCCAACACACGATCACTACAAAGCCAAAGCATGAACCAAGCAACACGCATTACGAGTAACCAGCAGACCAGCGAGACCAAGACACGCTGTAGTCAAGAAGGGATGGTGTCTCGTCCAAGCTTCGCATCTCGTATGCTCCGACTGGTCTTCAAGCGAAGACAACGCTCTGCTGACGAGCGAGCCAAGTCATGGCCAGGATGTGCGGAACCTGTTCCTGTGCCGACCAAGAGAAGCCAACCTAGCGCCACCATCGCTATCCCTCACAGTTTTGGATCTTCAGCTCCATCTACAGCGTACACAAGGCCTCAGCATGCACGCAAGCAATCGATCGGCAGCAGCAGTGAAGCTTCGTGGCGACAACGTCAGGTTCGCTGCGCGAACTGCGAGCAGTTGTTTTTCAAGTCAATGTCAATAGTGAGCAGCACTACTGGCTACTTCTGCTCGCTGGACTGCAAGACCAACTTGGAGTATTTAACTCTGCTCCAGGGCGTGGTTGACGCACAGGATTTTGGGTTTGACGCGTCTAGTGCAGCCTGGACTCCGGTAGAACTCAGTTGTTCCGACAAGGGCCAAGACTGTAGCGGATGGAGCTGAAACGCGATAATAAAGGATAGTTTAGGGAAAACACTCCCTTGAGTTCAAATAATAAAAAATATCTGTTATCTTTACTAAACTTTAGTACTTCGAAGCATGCCCTTTTATTCTATGTCCAGTTAGCTAAAGTCAGCGTTAAACTATCATATCCAGGATAGGAAGCTTGTGATAATTACCATTTCAGCCCGAAATTCAGGGGGGAAACAGAACGGAGACGTAGTAGAGCCTCCCAGTGCCTGGTCTAGACTGCGACAGATTGAGAGGCATGACAGCTAAGCAATACGGTCTCAGTGAGTTCTTTTAACCCCTTTAAAAAATCTGAAATTCTTTTACAAAACAAAATCACGAGGTACATGTAGCTGAATTTAAAACACGACAAAATGGATTAGAGAACCAATCGTCTGTGCTGGTTGCAAAGAGATCTAAAGGCCTGACTCACCCAGAGCAAGGTGAATTGCCGACTCCCAATCCCTTTCTCGGAGTGATTACAAAGGCAGCGCTTCCATACCACCGTTCACCGTACTTACTGCTAGCGTAATCCGGCTTTTTAAAAGCTAGACTGCTCGACAATTCGTTTTCTAAAGTAAACCCCGTCTCGTTTTCCAAGAACAGACAAAACTTGATCTCATCCCTTGAACTGGGAGCAGACAAGAGTTATCGTATAATGTACAGTAGAATTCCATGCTCACTTTCCAATCCGCCATTCAAGGCAAGTAACTCATGGAGCACGTACCACGTCTGGAAAGGAAGAGAGCTTTTCGGGTATCAAGTAACACCGGAGTGCTGGTCAAACCGTGTCCAGAACTTCCGCACCGTCCAAGCCTTGCATCTCGCATGTTCAGGCTTATCTTCAAGTCGAGACAATCTTCAGATGAAACTCGGCCCAAGTCATGGTCGGGTAAGCCAGAATCTGTGCCCACTGCTGCTACCGAGCCCTTTGTTCGCCACGCTAGCGCCAATGTCATCGTCCCAAGCCGATACAGCTCGTCAGAACAACCAGCATCAAGGACGCGAAGTATTCGCGAGGAAACTGGTGACGACGACGACGACTGCGATTCAAGCTGGAGGAAGCGACAAACTCACTGCGTCAACTGCGAGTGTTTGTTCTTCACTGCTCTTTCATCTTTGAGTTGCGATACAGGGAGATTCTGTTCACTGGACTGCAAAACCAGCTTCGAATACGTAAATCATCTTGAAGAAGTGCTTGCTGCGCACATGCGTGGAGGTAGTGACGCCACGAGCGATTCTTTGGGTTCAAGCTCGGATGAAGATGACTATGAGGTTGAAGAATTCGATCTTGATCAGCTTTGAACAGTTACTGTACAGTACACAGACTTAAGATGTTCGTTTCGAGACAACAGTAACAAACTTACTGCATTAGATGAACACAAACTCGGCAGCTTGGCTGATCTGTACTGCTACAGTAGTAGTAACTTTGTCGATGTATTTGATCGAGTGAATGTAGTTTGAATTAGTGCAGTTCACCCGACCTACGCGCGACAGTGCTCCAAGATCACCATTCGACCACCTGCCTCGGCAATTGCGGTTACCTGCGGAGCACCTCGTCTCGACAAAAAATTGAATACCGGTATCCAGCTTTCTAGCAATAGATAGTGCTATTGGCAAGTCCCTAACGGAAGACAGGATCATCGTAATGGAAACTGAGATTTCATCTTGGTATCTCCATGAGGACCAACGTGATTTAGAATCTTATAACCAGGTATCGAGCATACCAGAGCCAGTCATCGTAGAGGCATTCAGCATTATCCTATTGATCCAGCACGAAGGCATCGAAGTCCGACAGCACGCCATACGAACGTCAAGAGCACGAATAGTCTCGTCAACCGCAGTCAGCACGCTCACCCGCTCGACGCACTGGTTTACCCAAAGTAAAATGATCGACGTGATGGAATCGTCCGAGTCGGTGGAGTTCCCCAGTTCTCGACGTACATCATGTCATCAGGTGGGTGGGGCGAGTCCAAGTCCAGGAAGGCTGGGAGTGCCAAAGCTCCTTGCTTGGGTCCCAACCAGCGTCGCCGTCCCAGCTCCAGTTCCAGCCACTACAACCTCCGAACATCCACGTCTTGTAGCTTCCCGACTCTGAAAACCCCGACTTCAATGAAGTTGCCATCCAGGTAGAATCACCAGAGGGCTGAGCCAGCACAGCTCAGGGTGCGCGAAGACATAACACAACTTTCATCGCGTTCGAGACCTCAGTCTCTTGCTTCGGTTCCTCTATCCTCTCTTCACTTCTTGCTTAAACCCAGCAGTTTGATGACTAAAGATCCAAAGAGATATGGCTTAGTGTTCACATTGAAAGCACCGAAAGATCTCGCACGTGCTCGATGAGAAGTCGTCAATATGGCATCAAGATTCACTTGTCCACGATGAACACACCTCATTCAACATTCAGTCGTACTGTACGGGTGTACCTGTTTCTTACCGGATTATGATAATTCAATGCACTGAGATCATGTTTTGCGACAGTTGACAAAGCAGCTTCAACTCCACGTGTTTATTCGTTGTGAGGCTTGCTAGAGGAGCCGTCAGGAGTTGGAGCTCCATCAGCGACATCTCCCGGTCGCTGGGTATCCACAGGGTAGATCCACCGCTGGTACAAATACACGACAAAGACAATATCATCGCGGAAACACGAGATGCGGTGCAGCGTTGGCATCTTGATCACGAAGGCGAACAAGTCGTCGATGAACGTGTTGAGCGCACGGTAGACGAGCAACCGCCACTGCAAGTGTGCCACTGACTTGAGTCGGTAGTTGATGACCAACTGCGGGAGCATGAACACGAATCCCAAGGCGTACACTGTCGTAGTGAGAGATTCAAGCAACCAGGCGTACCAACCAGCATGCGGGACGTACAGCAGCGAATACACGGCGTAACCCGCAGCTAAAGGTGCCAGTACGAACAGCATGTGTGACGTAGCTAGCGAGTCAGCACGTTGAGTTTCCTCCAGCAGTCGCAAGCTATGCCTATCCATCGTTTTCGTCTTGTCCTCAGCTGCATCGGTTGGAGCAATGGACTTAGCTTTAAGTTGACGACGTTGAGCACTCCAGACCTTCGTAACTTTCCAGACAAGCAGTATGACACTGATGAATTGTGGTCCGGTGACTAGCAGCGTCGAGTCTTGGTCGACAAGGTACAGTAAGACCACAGTCTGCGAACCCAATTCAGCCGCCATAGCACGTAGCGACACACCAACAACATTGTCTCCTTTAGCACGCCAGTAGCTCACATCATGGCGAAAAGCCAGCCAATCAAACAGTAAATGGAGAAGCGACACGCTCATCGTGACAGCCAGAAGAACCGGATGAGTGTCAGTAACCATGGAACGGAGCGCATCCAGATCGCTAGACGGTACGCCCATTTGCTCCTGTGAGACGAAAACCGTTGCAAACGTCAGCTGCATCTGCCAACGAGCAAATGACAGCGGAGACCAGGACAGTAGCAGCGGAAGAACAACTTCGCCACCATTGCCATCGTCCAGTGTCGAGTTTAAAGGCACAAGCTTATCTTGAGTCTGCGATAGATCATCCACATACAGTGCTGGCAAGTAGCGCCAACGCTGATCCATCGGGTGCTGCACGTAGCGTAAGTTCTGGTAAACCATTACGGGCAGTTCCTCGACCGGGTATCTCGTAAAGTCCGTCACTAGGCGAACGCTCGCCGCTGGCTTCCAGTACGAAATGATCGCTGCTTCCTCCTGCACCTTCGACGTTGAGTCACTCTGTGCCTTCGCAGAAGCCAACAGCAGACTAGTGTTCTTCGCATTAGGTCTTGGTGCATATTTGACAAGGGTGGAGGCCTGGTGGATGGTCCTGTACTGGTCGTAGCTCTCTCTGTCCCTCGGGTCTGGCGAGAACCCAGCGTGGGTTACATGGACGTGTAAGAACACAGATGCGTTGCCCTTCAGTGCGTTCCAGACCTGGTTCGCCAATCTCGAGTCATTTGTGAGCTCTGCCAGCGTCTGGCGAGAGATATTGAAATCCAGATGTCTGGAGTTGGAGCTCTCCCAGTCGAACGTGAGAGACTTGAAGGCTCCCAAGTGCAGTGCTCCAGCGTTGAAGTCCTTGGCCGCATCCCATTCCTGGCGAGAAGATAAGTAGCACGTCACGTCCAGTGGCTGACCCTCACCCCACAACGGGTCCAAAGTATTCGGACTATCCGAGAATGTTGGGTACATGATCCTGTAAACCTGCAGCAGTCAGGTATAGAATGTAAGCACATAACACATTTCAAATGCTTATAGTTCGACTCCAAACACACCTGGCGGCCCACGAACGCCATGTAAGCCGACTACAGACAGCAGGAACACAATAATCACACCACCGCATCCAAAGACCGCAGCAAAGAATCACAAACACCATGTTAGACGTATCCGGGGCTATAAAGCGCTTTAGACTGTAAACAACTCACAAATATCGCGCAGGAGACAGTGGTGAAGGTGATCCATGACCACATCGCTCTAAGCACCCCCATGTTGCCGCAGTTCCTCGTCCGCTGGCGCTTCAGCGAGTGGATTCCGCACCGGTGCGTGCCTTGGAGAGTGAAAACGTGGCAACGAGAGCGGAATTGGTGTGATAAAGAAAGACCACCTCAAAGATGATGACCATCACTCCGAACAACTGTTTATCAGCCAATGATATCACGTTAAATTGATTTTCAGCCAATCCTCGTAATCCGAGGTTGTCCGCCAGTCAACAATGAGCGTTCATTGTTCATTTGAGCTTTGGCTGGAAGGCAACCATGCTGCTTGGGCGGAGGCTGCTGCAGGCGGCGACGCAGGATTCGGCCAGCGATGATGAGATGCTGCGCACCTTGAAGACGCACGACCGCTTCTTTTGCGAGACGATGGAGATCATCCCGGCAGCGTTTTACTTCCCCACGGACGCAGAGACCAACTGGAAGAAGTCGGCGCCCAAAAAGTATCACAAGGTGAGCGCTTTAGACCAGTTTCCAGAACGCTTTCAGCATTGAGCAGATAGAGCTGGATTTGGCGCATCGAACGAGAGGCTTGTGAATCTTGCAAGATATCCTGGGCATCTCTGACGGCTGGTTATGTGTGGCTACTACTCTTGTGCAGAACGTACAGGCGCTTAAGCAGCAGGAATCGTCCAAGAAGAACCTCCTCAAGCGTGCCAAGTTCTCTCCGGCAGCACAGCAGAGCAACGAGGAACGACAGAAGGCCACGGCGGCGGTTGAAAAGAAGGAACAGGCGCAGGTTAAGCCGATCAATTCCAGTGCAGCAACGGAGGAGAATGGTCTGGAGGGTCTTCGTGCACGTCTGGCCGTCAAGATCCAAGCCATGCGTGAACAGCGTAAGGCTGAGGAGAAGACGGGCAAGAAACGTCCGTCGCGTGCCGAGGCGGCAGCTGAACAGCGAGCTTTAAAGAAGCGCAAGACTACAGCTAACAAGAGCAAGGCCAAGGCCGAAAAACGCGAGCAGGAGACCGCTGCTAAGACGGAAAGTGAGACGCAAGTGAAGAAGGACGCGGATACTACGGTGGACGCTGGCTCCATCTCGTACGGCAGTCTGCTGCTGGATGACGGCAGCGAAAAGGACAACAAGCCCAAGACTCGTCACGGCCAGAGTGTGCGTGGTATCCAGAACCTGTTGAAGAAGGCTGAGCGCAATGCTCAGCGTCTTGAGGAGCTGAAGAAGACAGAAGAGGGCAAAGAGAAGGCGAAGGCTAAGGGCTGGGATACCGCTCTCCAACAGGCTGCAGGTAAGGTAGTAATGGACGACCCGAAGCTGCTGCGTGCTAAGCTGAAAAAGAAGGAGAAGGCAAAGGCGAAGAGTACGAAGGAATGGAAGGAACGCACGGCAAAGCTGGAAGTGTCCAAGAAGGAGCGACAGAAAAAGAAACTCACTAATGCACTTGGTCGTGGCAAGAAGGATGCCGCTAAGCCAACCGAGAAGAAGGGACGAAAAGGACCGGTACGTTCACTGTTAGACTGTGACGAGCGAGATCTGTAGACTGACATATCTTTGCTATATTAGCGCGCTGGGTTTGAAGGCAAGAAGGGCGAGGCATTCTTGAACGCTGATAAGAAGGGAGGCAAGCCTGCCGGCAAGAAGTCGGGAGGACCCAGTAAGTAGCTGGAGAAGCCAGGTATATAATATAGACTGCCAGTTTGCATCAATTTGAGGAGATTTTAGTGCTGTATTTGCCCAAGTGCAGTTATATAAGATAGAAGGAGCTGAATGCCTGGAGCTCTACAAGATGCTACAGCCGCCGCCACCCTGGCCGCTCTGCTGCCACGGGTTCGGACCGCCGTCATTCTCTCCGAGGAACGGGTCCGCAGTATTTTGGCAGTACTCGGCGATTCTAAACGCACAACACGGCCAGTGAGTCTATAGTTGCCTCGTATTTAGTTGTCGCAAACTCACTTCTTGGCCGCTTCGGACGTGGTGCAGGAGGCTTCGAGCGTCTTGAGGTCGATCTCGAGCCTTGCGATCTCCTCCGTGAGCTTCTTGGTAGCGTCTGACATCGTGTCTGCTAGTCTTTGCTGTGGTTACTGAGCTGCCGAGACGAAAGTGACCGCTGCTGGAGTACCCGACTCTTCGACACGCAACGTTTTCCATCTTTTCATAGCGAAACCGCTGTAAAGTTGCTACAAAGTTGCTATATATTCTTACGCTTCATTTTTTACGTTGCGCAACTCAACAAGTTGAAGTGATGAATATGAACGTTCAGAGCCTCAAGACTAATGAGCACGTTATCCTGTAGCCTTCGATGTTGCCAAATTGCATGATTATACTGCCGATGCCGCTTGCTCGCACGTCGTCTAATAGCAACTCAATGCGACATTAGCTTGGTTTGATCTTGCCCACCATGCACCAACAATGTGGAGAGGTGCAGCATTCGGACGCCTGTACTACCATCGCGACGGCCTAAATCCACAAGTTTCTGTCGAAAATCTGGACGAGCAAGAGAATTCTCGAAGACGACACACACGTTCTCCATGCTGCCAAGCAGCCGAAGCATCGGCGTTAGTAGATCTGAGTGACCAACGACACTTGTTACGCGGTCAAACGTACTAACCCACTCAAAGCGCGTTTCGCCATGCATGACGATGCGTTGCCCAAGAAGTTTGTGTGCCAGTTTTGGTCTACGGTGTAGGCGAGGAAGACATTCCGCACTGTGATCACAGTTATTGTGAAACTTGTGGTCGTTATGGCGACTATAAAGCCCTCGCCACTTTTCTTTAGGCGTTTAAACTCGAGCGCGATGTCTTTTCAAACCAGTTTAAAAAACTGTGCCAACTTTTCATCATGACTTCAGCTCCACGTCCAGAATTGTGAACTACATCAGATGACATCGTTTCTGGTACAAAGTCCAGTTGAACACAAGGTGTCAGCGCTGCGACGGTATCGTGTCCATTGGAGTGAAGACCGTGGTGGAACAGCCTGAAGTATTCTGCTGCCACTTCCCACACGATGTCTGTCGCTGGAGTTCTTAACAAGACAGCACAACGTTTGCACTCGAGAATTTTAATCTCTCTTTGTAGTTGACAAAAGTCATTCTTGAGCTTTACCTCGAGGTTAATTCGCTTCTTTCGGCGTCGCTGTTCATTCAGTCGATGTCTCTCTCGCTCTGTTGGTTCTTCAGCGTGAAGTGGACCTGGGCTTTTTCTTACTTTCATCACTGTAGTAGCTTGCTGAGCCTCACCGTCAGTAGTAACAGGGAGGAGATTTCTGATATCTGATTGTAAGCTTGAGTATTTCCGGAAAGAAATACCCTGTTGAGTCTTGATCGTCGCTAATAAATGCCAATGCATATTTAGACCGGTTAAACGCGACCTCATCGATATCGAATTGCCTTCCACGCTGTACCACAGGACCAATAGGAAAATTACGAAATCGTTGGCTGTTTGGTTGAATCCACGAACTGGTCATCGCGATTCTGCTGTAGAATGAAAAATGGAGAACGAATACCTCCACGCGTGAACAGATGCGGGCGCGCAATCACTCGGACGTCATAATCATTGCTGGTTGTTGTACAGTGCAGCTTTAAGTGAGCGAGTACGAACTCAAATCTACATGTTAACGCTTAGACTTCATAATCGCTGCGTAGTATTACCCAAACGCTGAAAATGTAATCACATGTCCACAAAACCCCTGGTCTGTGGCTCGTAACTAGCG